TGATACAAAATTATTAGGGGAAAGGTCCTTATATAAGTGATTATGTTGATCGAAGGGTTTTGTGGCCTGAATGCTAAATTTCCCTTTGGAAGGTTGAGTTTCTACTTTAAGAAGCTGATTAGCTGGAGGGAAAATTTTAAGAGAAAAATGCTGTAAAAAAGATAAATGAAGTAGATTCAGTAAATGCACTTTATATTACGGGTAATTTTTTAAAGATTTATTTATTTATTTGAAAGTCAGAGTTACATAGAGAGGCAGAGAGAGAGAGAGAGAGAGAGAGAGAGAGAGAGAAAGTCTTCCATCCGATGGTTCACTCCCCAAATGGCCACAACAGCCAGAGCTGAATTGATCTGAAGCCAGGAGCCAGGAGCTTCTTCCAGGTCTCCCATGCAGGTGCAGGGGCCCAAGGACTTGGGCTATCTTGTACTGCTTTCCCAGGCCATAGCAGAGAGCTGAATTGGAAGAGGAGCAGCCGGGACTCAAACCAGCACCCATATGGGATACCGACACTTCAGGCCAAGGCGTTAACCCACTGCACCACAGCGCCGGCCCCCCAAGGGTAATTTTTAAAAAGATTTATTTATTTATTTGAAATGCAGAGTTACAGAGAGAAAGAAAGACCGAGAGAGGAAGCGATCCTTCACCCACTGTTTCACTCCCCAAATGACCACAACACAGGGCTGGGCCAGTCCAAAGCCAGGAGGAAGGAGCTCCACCTGGGTCTCCCACATGGGTGGCTGGGGCCCAGGCCATCCTTGGCTACTTTCCCTGGTGCTTTAGCAGGGAGATGGATCAGAAATGGAGCACCAAGACTCAAACCATATGAGATGCTGGAGTGGCAGGTGGTGGCTTACCTGCTGTGCTATGCCACAACACCAGCCCCTAAGGGTAATATTTAAGTGAATGAGTTTTTACAAAATGAAGGAAAACAAAAGAGACAGACGTAAAAAGAATGAGAACCAAAAGGGGAAGCCTATTTTTAATCTGGACCAGTTTGCCTGGGAATTTGGGAGTTTCTCCAGGGATGCTAAGAAATGGGCCATGGAGATTGAGACACAAAGGTGTCGTCTGCAAGCTCTCCTCTGGCAGACACTGTCTTCTTTCTTTCTGTTTTATACAGCCTGTCTCCAATTAATCTGTGGATTGTGTCCAAAGCTTCCATTGTAAATTGGTTGCTGAGAACTCACAATATTTTTAATTCATAAAATGTTTTTATCCACAGAAATAATGCTATAAATGCCCTTCAGCTTACCAGGCCACTCCATAACCACTTACTGCTGGCTGAAATATCACATATGCAATGGCTAATAGCAGCAAACTACTGTTATAGTGCCAATAAATAGGTGCAATATTCAATACAGCTAACTTGTCTGTTGTGCTTCAAGGCAAGCAGGTTTGGTTGGAAGAGAATAAGTGTACTAATCAGCTTTTCATCACTGTAAGTAAAATACTGTGAGGAGTTTCTAAGGAAGGAAGGTTTATTTTGGCTTACAGTTTTGGAGGTTCATAGTCGAAGACTAGATGGCCTAATTACTGAGGCATTTGAGCAAGGCTAAGGGATGGCGGAACACTTGCAGAGGGAGGATTGCATGGCCAGCCAGGAAGCAGAGAGAAATAGGAAGCAGGCTTATATAACTCTCTCCCAAGAACTACCTTCCAAGAACAATGACCTAAAGATCTCCCACTGGGCCCAGCTCCTAGACATCATATATAGTATTTATGTCTTGATCATGCAGCCATTTGTTTACAGTTTGGCACATGGCAGAGAGTTGACAGCTTCAGAAAGGAGGTACTAGCAGAGGGGGGCTACCTGACTGTATATGAAATAGGTACCACCTGGGCATTTCTACCTAAAGGTGTTCATCAGAAAGGTACAAAGCCCCAGCTGGATGTCTCTGAGAACCTGATTCACGATGCTTGCTTTCTGATGCCTCTCTTCCTGATCTTCCTGATCACCTTTCTTACCAATGGCTTTCTCCTCTTTGTGTAGGGGATTAAATTATTTAAAAGAGCCTTTTTGCGTCTAGAATATCTTTTCGTATTTTATAAAGATCTCATTCAGGGGCGAAGTTATGGTGCAGCAGGGTGAATTGCTGCCTGTGAGGCTAGCATCCCATATCTGAGTGCAGGTTCAAGTCCTGGCTACTTCCCTTCCAATCCAGTTTTCTGCTAATGCACCTGTAAAGGCAGTGGAAGATGGCCCAAGTACTTGGTTTCCTGCCACCCATAGGGTATAAACCCTGATGGAGTTCTTGGTTCCTGGCTTCCATCTGGCCCAGACTCACTCACTTTGGGGAGTGAACCGGCAGATGGAAAATTGACTCATTCTGTCTCTTTCTGCCTTTCAAATAAACAAGTAAATCTTTTTTTAGAAGAAGATCTCACTTAAAATGAACAACTAATATACATTTATTATAGAAACAGAAGAAATGCTGATAAGCATAAGGAAGGGGTGAAATGGGACCCCATTTCCTAAAGATAACCCCTATTAAAATTTTGATGTATAATGTTCCAGACTTTTTCCTATGTTCATACATTTTCTTAGAAAAACGGGGTTGCAGTGAACAAACTTCTGTAATGTGTTTATCACTGAATCTGTGTTGTCTGCTTTTCCATGTTAATACTATCCTTCAAGATCATTATTTTGTAATGACTGCATAATGTCACTTTTTTTTTTTTTTTTTTGACAGGCAGAGTGGACAGTGAGAGAGAGAGACAGAGAGAAAGGTCTTCCTTTTGCCGTTGGTTCACCCTCCAATGGCCACCGCGGCTGGCACGCTGCGGCCTGCACACCTCGCTGATCCAAAGCCAGGAGCCAGGTGCTTCTCCTGGTCTCCCATGCAGGTGCAGGGCCCAAGAACCTGGGCCATCCTCCACTGCACTCCCGGGCCACAGCAGAGAGCTGGCCTGGAAGAGGGACAACCGGGACAGAATCCGGCACCCCAACCGGGACTAGAACCCGGTGTGCCGGCACCGCAGGTGGAGGATTAGCCTAGTGAGCCGTGGCGCCGGCCATAATGTCACATTTTATGAATGTGTTATGATTTATTCAATTACTTTTGGCACATAGATAGTTTCTAATTTTTTAGATTTATTTACTTATTTCTTGAATTTTTTGAAAGGCAGAGTGATAGAGAAAGCAAGGAAGATAGAGAGATAGAGAGAGAGAGAGATGGGTCTTCCATCTTCGAGTTCACTTTCCAGATGCCCACAACAGCCAGGGCTGGGCTGAAGCTCGAGCCCAGAATTCCATCTGGAGCACCCATGTAACTGGCAGGGTCCAAGCACTTGAGCCATCATCTGCTGCTCCCAGAATGCATTAGCAGAAAGTTGGACTGGAAGCAAAGTAGCTGAGACTTGAACCAGGGACTCTGATATGGGATTCAGACATCCCGCATGACAGTTTGACCTGCTGTACCACAATGCTCGACTCTTGTACTTCTTTATTTTTCTTGCTTGACTGCAATGCTTCAGATGTCCATAACAGTGCTAAATAATGGTAGTCATAATGAGCATCCTTTTCTTTTTTTTCTGATTTTAATGTTAGTAACTCCAGTATTTCACTAGTAAGTGTGATGTCTGTGTTTGATTTGAGATTAAATAATCTCTATCATGTTAAGAAGACATTTTCAAATTCCATTTTACTAATTTAAAAAACAGTGTTGAATTTTATCAAATGACTTTTCAAGATTATCTCTTGTGGTAATCCAAAAGCTTTTCTTTATTTTCTTCATTGACTTAATTAAGTCTTGATTATGCTAATAAATTCCTTAATTCATGGTTTACAACTTTATGATAAAGTTATGTTTATATATGAGGTTGGTCTGTGGTTTTCTATATTATGCTTTATTTACGTAATTTTTAAAGTCAGTGGTTTTATGTCAGCTTTCTGTTACTTTTGAATTTGAATTTTTTATGTAGCTTGGAAATTATCTGTGACTTTAAGCTTAGAGAGAACTTGATTGTGCAAGCAATCTGGGCTAAAAACTTTTCTTGGAAACAATTTCTTAATGTCATTTGCGTTTTTCCACAGTTATCGATCTGTTGTTTTTCAACTTTGTCTTGGGTCAGTTTGTCTCTAAATACTGTTTTGGCTATGCCCCCATAATATTTTGATATGTGGTAATCTTATTTTTGAGAAACTTAAGCAATCTATAAATACCTTTTTGATTTTTTTCTTCAATAAATAATTTTTCTTTTAAAGACGAACTGCAAAATTTTTCCAAGATCTCGGCTTCTTATTGTTAACTTAAGTTTTTAAATTTATTTATAGTTTTATGACTCTATGTGTGATCTATGTGTGATAGTATGTGTCAAGAACAATCTCTTCTGATGGGAAGTTACTTAAGATATCTTGGCGGCCTAATGTCAACTCAAGTTTTGCAAAACTTTCTTATATATTTTTCTGAACAGAATAAATAGATCTTTCTCTTTAATGAGTCAATTTTTTCCTACTAGGCATCCATGGTAAGATTTAAAATGGACAAGTCAGAAGCATTCGATAATGCTGACGAAAGTTTGAAAGGATATGGACACAAAGAAATAATTAAATATTGAGTAAGAAAAAAAAAAAGCAAAAGCAGAGAAAAGCACAAAAGGGGGAGGTAGTGAAGAGAGGGAAGCCCTGTCTTCTGGGAAAACAAAGTGCTTAAGACACCATCATGGCCCCTGAGGAGCACTCAGCCCTGAAGTGGAAAAGATAAATTGAAGGCAGAGACAAGATTTGGGGAGGCAAAATGACTAATTGAGACAACAGGAGAGTCATTCAGTAATCTATTAGAACCCAGGAGAGATGTTAGAGAACAAGAAGGGTAGAGGGGATTTTCAGATTGAAGGGGCAGATAGAAGAGAGGTGCGTGTAGGAGGCCATAGCAGGTGGGAGTGAAATCTTACAGAAGCACAGAAGAATGTGTCAAGGAGTGCTTGATCAGTGGGTCAAACGTGGCTGAAAGGTCAAATAGAACCAAAGCAAGAAAGTGTCTCTTGCCCTCTGTCTTGGGTACTCGGGGAGAGTAGTTCCCCCGAGGTGGGGGAAGAAGACAATGAGCAGGTTGTGACTTGAGAGGGATGTGAGATGATGGAGGCAAGTATTTCTCCAGAGGCTCCACCGTGAAGGGAATGAATGAGGTAGGCAGGTAGTTGAAGACCAATGAACAGAATGACTGTAGTTAGGACATAAACACAAGGTAAGCATGTTTAAATGATGAGGAGATGAAGGGGGGGTGGTGGGTGGAGCCTGGTTGTCGCTGAGAGTCCTGAACTGGAGGGAGACACAAGCCTGGGTGGGAGGAGGCACCTCTTCTTGAGATGAAGGAAATGGTTGGGCCCCGCAGGCAGCTTGGGCAGAAAGGCAAGGTCTGCCCATTTCTTGGCAAGGCAGGATGGTGTCGTTATAGAACCTTGAGCACATTCCTAGACCGTCACTGAGGCGCCTAGCGTCTTGTTCTGCACGTTGATGGTTTGCTTCATGGGAATGACTCAGGATCCATGCCTCCCTGCCCTGCCAATAGAACTTGGAAAAAAATCTCTACACGTAGCTATTGTTTTCTCTGATGGTCATTGAAGAGTTTCCAGAAGTCTCTAACTATGTGGTGTTAACTGAAAATGAGAGTTTTGCAGGGAAACCAAAGATGAGGTTTTATTCATGAAGAGAAATGGAGCATTTAAAGCTGGAAACAACCAGTCAGTTGCTCTGAGCTGGCTGTTCTGCATGACTGAGTTTGGTTGCAGGTTTTACACTTTTCTTATAGGGCGAGTATATGCTTTGAGTCAAGTTTAAACAATACTGATTAATGTGGGGTTGTCAATCACATTGAAAATGAAAAAAATACTTCATTGAAAATGGAAGAACACCTGGTAATGCCCAACGGACTTGATTATTGATTAGGGAGGTACATTATATTTCCACATGCATTCCCGGAGATGGTCTGGATATGCTAAGACTGGCAAACATTGGGGTGGTGAACTACTGTTCCTACAAGGGCCCAATGACATCAGGTCATTCTTTAAGGCACAGTAAATGCTTCCTTGCCCATGGCTCCTGTTTTCTTAGTCACAGTTGAGGTTTGTTGGAGGGTCCTGTTACCTGGGAATTAGCTGCAAGACATCTTTATAGCAGGGAGGGCATCCTGGCTGGTTTAGGCCTCTTTAGAATTTAAGCCCACAGTGGTATGCAGTGGATTATCAGCATGATTAACTCAGCTGATTGTTAATTAAGTGACTGACAGATGCCCACAGCTCACAGAAGTTTCTGTTATGGTAAATACAAACTATAAATAAATTAGAGTAGTATTTCAGATCCTCAGTAGGCCTCTTTCCCTTTCTGTTTCTAACTAAAGATTCGCATCAACACATGAACAAAAGTGCCTATGAAGGTGACATTCCTTCTGATGTATAAAGTTTATTTCAATTACTAACTTCAAACTCTTAGGAATACATTTGGACACTTGCCTGGTTTTCCCTGATTTCTCTATTTGCATTTTGGGCTCTCACAAGTTGATAATAAATTAGTGCCCTTAAAACATGGCAAGACAGAGGTGTTTCTCTCTCTTCTCCTCCCTCCCTCCTTTTCCCCTTTCCTTCCTCTATTATTCCAGATAATATTCTGTCTTCTACATGGAGGGAAACTTCTGGTTTAATTATCCTGTAGATAATTATGAGATAAACCACAGACAAGAAAGATTTCCCACGTCTGTTGCTATACTGAGTAAGTTTTCACTTACTAAAAATCAAAGTTGACAGTCTAATGGTTCAGAAATCCCCTGGGGGGATTTTAACCACCTTTTTTGGATGTTCACTTGGCCAAATACGCTGACTTTGTCAAATCTCCACTCTACGCTAAAGGATAAGCTCAGGTGCTGATTTTGGGAAGTGTTTCCCTTACCATACCAAGTCAGGCACCCGAAGTCAGAGCTATCCAAACTCCGCTACTTGGAAGGCTTTGCTTGCACAGGAAGATGAAACGGCCGGGGGAGGCAGACGTAGGAAAGTCAGCTCAGATGAGAAGCATGAATTCCACAAAACATCTAGGATGGGTTCCTACTTTTGTGAGCAGCAAAGAAACTGTAGGTTGGTCCAACTTCCCAGCACACAAAGGCGGCGGCCGTGCATCTGCAAGACGGATGCTTGGTAAATCTGGTGATTGTTTCTGTTTGCACTCCCGCACCAATGATCGTCTCAACTGCTCTGCTTAGACTTTGACACCAGAGAACAGATAACTGCACAAGTTTGGTCTCCAGCTACCAGAAATCACTTCCATTCTCTCTTTACATAAAGCTGCTTTTGCTACTCCTCATTAACCCCTCACATACTGGCCGCTGCGCATGGCCTTGGAAGTCAACATGGAGCATTCTGGGATGGATGGTGAGGGTGTGCCTTGCCTTCCTCGGGATAGTCGGCTTTGCCTTGCGCCTCTTCCAACAAACCAGAGCCTGGGGTGCTGAGAAAATGAAACCAGGCAGGCTTGCGGTGCTGCGGGGCCACCTGAGACGCAAAGCAGCAGCCACCTGCGGTGCGAGCCCGCGCTTCCTTCTTTCTAGCTGTTAAAGAGCCCCAGGGAAGCCCAGAGTGCGAGCAGAGAGGGTAGGGCCTGGAGCCTCCCCACCCCACCCCACCCCCAGCACAATTAACTTTCCACTCACAGTGACCTGCCCTCCAGTGTGGCTTATCAGCTGTTGGGCTTTTGTCGCTAAAAGAAAACAAATTGTGGAATGCGCTGCTCTGCGTGCTAATGAAACCAAGCCCGGGGGCAGGAGTAGGTTTGCGAATGGGGAGAAGAATGACCCTCAGTTTCTGACCTCCTGGCACCCGGGCGGTATTTATCAGAAGGCGCATGTGACTGGGTAAGACACACAGCCCCAGCTCGAAGGAAACAGCTGCTGGCGGAGTGCTCTGCGCTTGGCAGCTGGACAGTCAGGGCGCTGAAGGGAGTGAGCGAGACCGCCTCAGACCAGTAAGTAACTGGAGAGCTTGCTGTGTGTGTGTGTGTGTGTGTGCGTGCGCGCGCGTGCCTGCGAGTGAGCGAGTGTGTATGTGTGTGTGTGGCGGGGCAAGCCACCGGCTCGCAGCCTTTTATTTTACTTTGATTTTGGTTTCCCTCTGATGCTATAAAAGGATATATCTTATTTGTACTGCTGAATAGCCATTTGTGTTTTTACTGACCTGTTAAGAACCTCCTATTTTCAGCAACGTTCTCTTTCGACTTTGAGGATGAGTGGGGTGCATTGCTTGATTCTTGTCTCTGAAGCAGTGAGTTTATTTCCAGGTGTCTAGGATTTTTATAATCTATGATATTGAGGTGAGAGCCAAAGTTCAGGTCATGAAGGTAGAGAACTACTCCAAGTGAGCTGATGATCGGATTAGATTTTAATCAGTTTTAACTTGAAAATATAGTTGTTTAAAATAACTTGTAAATTTATTGTACAGTTGAGTTGACCATTCCTAGTCCATTCTGAAGAATATTTCATTTAACGATGTAGAACAGTCTGTAATATGGAGACCTGCTAAAATAATATTTGGATTAGAAATAATATTCAGAGTCTACGCATGCTTTCCAACTCATTGAAAGCATGTTTTATAGCTCTTTTCTTCAACAAGCTAATCCACCTTTATTATTTTAAAGCTACAATTCTTAGCCCTGGTGTTCCTTAATTCAGTGTTTTTATGATGCTCAGGGTCTTTCTTCCTTGTTTATGACCCGGATTATAAACGTGCTGCCTGAAGCCGGGTATGGGGAGGGCTGGGCGGTTCCGCTGGCATCTCCAGAACCAGAGAGGACCCGGGACCAGACCGATCTCTCTGGGGTTCATTCAGTAATAAGGGCGCCCGCCCTCGGGACAGCAGCAACGCAGCCATCCTACTGGGACCCAGCCGTTGTTCAAGGACCTCGGTCCTGCCCTAGCCACCAGACAGAATGCGTAAGAGGAAGGGAAAAAGAGGAAATGGGAGTGGGCAGGACCCTGAAGAGATGACAAAACCTCTGAATCTGGGCTGTAAGGAGATAACCAAACAGACTCTTTTTTTGGGATTGCCTGGCCGTTAGGGAGGCTGAGCAGAGCGGTGGTTTTGTTCACAGTTGTTTTTCTTGCTTCGAGCCTAGGCCACCCTGAAGGGCGCTTGATTCTACCGCTGACTGAAGGCTTGTCCTGAGGCCTCAACTTGGAGGGTTTGCGCGCGATGTCTGTCTCCTCTCCTACCGCTGTTCTCTCTCCGCCCCGGTTGTTCGTGGAGCAAGGGTTGACATGAAGCAGGGCATGCTGGTCCTAAGGCGGAGTTTCCCGCCACACAGCTGGGCTGAGGGAAAGCTTTTCAGATGCCCAGCTTGAAAAAACACCTGCTCTGAGATTAAAAAGCTCGCCCCTTTCTTTTCTTGCAAATGCGGGGAGAATCTACAAAACCTGGAGCGTCAATGAGAAAAAATAGTTTCAGCTCCTCTGTTCCTCTTTGCGCCACGGTGCGAGCTCGCTCCGGGGGTCAGCTGGAGGCCACGTGGCCTGTTACTTCCCTGTCTGATTGCAGGGAGCCCACTCCGCGTCCCCACCCCATGCTGCGCCCTTCTGTGGAGAGTTTGCTTCTGGAATAGCTTCACTTTTCCCACAGGTCGTTAGTGGAGAAGAACTCTGCCATGAAATCATGTCGCTCGAGTAACAGAGCTTTCTGTAATGAAACAGAATATCTAAATGGAAGTCAAGATATTCTCATCTGATTTTTTTGAACACTCACACATTATTTAAAGAAAATTCTGGGCTGGCAGTGGGATACAGCAGGTCAAGTTGATGCCTGCAGCACCAGCATACATTTTGGGCTCTGGTTCTGAGTCCTGGCTGCTCCACTTCTGATCCAGCTCCCTGCTAATGCACCTGGGAAAGCAGTGGAAGATGGGCCAAGTCCTTTGGTCCCTGCCGCCTATGCACCCATGTGGGAGACTGGGAAGAAGCTCTTGGCTCCTGGCTTTGGTTTGGCCCAGTCCTGGCTGATGTGGCCATCTGGGGAGTGAACCAGTTAGTGGATGGAAGAGCTTTCTCTCTGTCTGGACTTCTCTCTCTGTAACTGTCTTTCAAGTAAATAAATAAATTATTAAAAATACAATAATGTCTTGAATTTTAAAATAATAGTAACAGGACAATTAAAATAATTATTTTATATGCAATGTTATATCCATGGAGTCAAAGGCCTTTAGGCCTAGATAGGAATTATAGAATGTGCAATTTAATGTCATCATATCAAAGACTAGGAAGTTGTAGAAAATTTATTCCCATTACAGTACAGAGCCAGAAGAAAGAGCTCAAGGCTTCTGTGGCTCTTGTTACCATAATATTAATGTTAATAATTATCATTATTACTGTACACTTACTGTGCTGATATGCTAAGCAAGTATATTTAATTTTTAGCATTCTCACATTAACTCTGTGCTATATATTATTATGATTGTGATTCCACTTTTATAGAGGGAGAAACTGAGATTAAGACACCCCCCCTTAGTCTATACCTGTCACAGGCAGGAGTGATACCTAGATTTGACTCTAGAACCTATATACATTAGAAAATAAAAGTGGAGGGGCTGGCATTGTGGCATAGCGGGTAAGGCCACCATCTGCGACACCAACACCCACAGCCTATGTGGGCACCAGTTTGTGTCCCCACTATTCCACTTCCAATCCTGCTGTCTGCTAATGGCCTGGGAAAAGAAGTGGAAGATAGTTCAAGTGTTTGGGCTCCTGTCACCCAAGAAGGAGGCCCCAAAGAACCTCCTGGCTTCAACCTGGCCCAGCTCTGGCTGTTGCAACCATTAAGGGAGAGAACCAGCAAATGGAAGATCTCTCTCTCTCTCTGTCTTTCCCCCTTTCTCTGTAACTCTCACTCTCAAATCTCTAAAAATAAAATAAAAGTAGAATGCTTATGCTAATCCCACACATTTACCCTTAACAACTCATGGAACGCGAATGAGAGCATTAACTGGAACAATAAGATCAGACACACCATGTGTGTTATGGTCCTGCTCAATGCTCCCTGGCAGGAAGGGCTAGGTTTCCCCCTGTGACAGTCCAAGTCCAAGCGCCACAGGACTTGTTTCTCTTTGAAAATAGTTCAGTAATTGCCTTCACATCCGTCAGGCCAGCAGCTGAGAGCTTTGTTGTTAACCTCACTGCCTTTTCTGGCCTTCCTCTCAGTTTTTCCTGATACTCCTTTCCCTTGGAGGACACCCACTCCATCCAGGGCCCACCTCAAATAGCTTGTAGCTTGCCTTGTGTTGGTGAAACTACTGTCAGACCTGTTTCTTTTGGCTCAACTTAGCAGATTGACTGTCCAAGTAGGTTGTTTATGAATAGAAACAACACAGTCTGTCACTGTGTTTGTCCTAAGCTCTGAGTGTGTGTGTGTGTGTGTGTGTATGTGCTGTGGGTCTGGGGCAGGGGGCTGGCTGCGAGTGCAGAAGGAAGAGAGATGTGCATTTCTTTGCAGGCTATGATGCTGCCTGCTCCTGCCATTTGTTCTGAGTCATACTCCTCCCCTCATCTGCTGCATATCTCAACACTGGCTGCCTCACTTGTGGGCTGTGAACCTTGGATATTTTTGGGTCATGAGACAGAGCCCTTGCAGAAACCTACTGTTTAAACCCTTTTAAAAATTCCATTTGGCTCTCCACATTCCTCTGCTTGGTTAAATGTCAAAATTAGGTTGGAGATTATGAGAAAGAGCAGTGGGTAATGCATAAACAACAGCAGGGGGTCCCTTGGTTAACAGGGAATTAAGCACGTAGGCCATGCATGGTTGTCATTGACAAAGTTATCAATGTTTTCCCAAGGTTGTTGTATCAAAATTACGCATTTTGAAGATCAATCTATTTCTAACAAGAAAAGGGAGTTTTTACTCTTTATTTCTACCAGTCTGTAGTCTAAAACTAAGCCCTACTCAATAGTAGTTAGTGCTGCAAGTTGTGAAGCCAGAACCATTGCCAGTGGGAATTACTGCCATAGAAACTGGCATAGCCCAGGGGATGTTGTGTGGAGATGCATGAAATGGGCTCCAAATCAATCATTAGAGTCCACGAGTCATACTCCAGAGTTGGTTTGAAGCTCAATAAAATGCTTCATTAATATCTAGAGAACTTTTATGAAGTGGAAACAAATTCTATGGTGCAGTGCTTGTTTGATTTGTTTTTGCCAGATCGTGTTTTTCAAAGACCTCTGTTCCCAAAGAGTTCACTCCCTTAGATCCCTCTTTTTCCTGGTGAGCTCTGTTATGGTCCCTGAAGTTAACTCTTTGGGTGTCATGTTCCCATTGCTTTAAGGGATTTGAAGTTTTGGGGTTTTTGCTGTTTCAAGCGATCATTTTAGCTCCAGAGTCTGCTTGTAGAGTCACTGTGCTTTAATCTTTAAGCTTCTCTTTGATGTTGAACACAAACCTCTGTATTTATATGGGAATTTACTGGCATCTGTTACTTTCTTGCACTTTGCCACAATCCAATGAAAGAAAGACATGGTCACAGTAGTTTACCGAGAAGAAACAGAGAATGAGAGAAAGCGAGCAGCTTGTCCATGGCCCTGGCATCAGTAACTGGCAGAATTCAGCGAAGTCTCCAGTCTACTGCTGCATCCCAGGTTTTTCCTTTTAGTTTGTGCTGTCTTCTAGAGAAAGACCACTTTCAACCATTTCATGACCATGCTCTTCTGAGATGAAAAGCACTACAACTTGTACTACTGTCTCCTGTTAGCAAAGGGTAACTGATTGGCTGATTTGTGATATGCCTTCTCATTCATATTCGTGGTGATACTTCCAAAGCCTGTGAACATTTTACTTCAGGAACAGGATCAGCTTAGTTGCAGGCACAGTAGTATTTGCTTAAGGTAATTTTTTTTTTTAAAGATTTTTATTTGGGGCTGGTGCTGTGGCATAGCTGATAAAACTGTCATCTGCAGTGCCAAGATCCCACATGGGCACCAGTTTGAGTCCCAGCTGCTCCACTTCCAATCCAGCTCTCTGTTATGGCCTGAGAAAGCAGTAGAAGATGGCCCAAGTCCTTGGGCCCCTACACGCGTGTGGGAGACCCGGAGGAAGCTCCTGGATCCTGGCTTTGGGTCGGCCCAACTCCAGCTGGTGCAGCCGTTTGGGGAGTGAATCAGTGAATGAAAGACTTTTCTATCTCTGCCTCTCTCTGTAACTCTGCCTTTCAAATAAATTAATTAATTTAAAGATTTAATCTAAAGAGGCAGAGGAAGAGAGAGAGAGAGATTGATCTTGCATTGATGGTTCACTCTCCAGGTGGCCACAATGGCCAGAGCTGGGCCGATCTAAAACCAGGAGCCAGGAACTTCCTCCAGGTCTCCCATGTGAGTACAGAGGCCCAAGCACTAGAGCCATCTGCCACTGTTTTCCCAGGCAATTAGCAGAGAGCTGGACTGGAAGAGGAGCAGCTGGAACATGAACTGGCACCCACATAGGATGCCAGTGCCGCAGGCCAAGGCTTAGCCTACTATGCCACAGTGCCAGCCCCCTCAAATCG